TTTTCATTCCTATCAAGGAAAGGGAACAGATGCATGTGAATGACATAGGCATTTACAGTCTTGCCTGGGGTTAATTCTTTCGCCCTCTATTATAATATAACCCAAAGGAACCTGGACTGCTTGGACATTCTGCATATCATCACAGTGACCCAATAATTGATGATATCATGTGTTTTGGTTTTCAAGTATGCCCACAAATTCTTTGACATTTCTTCCTTCAGGAAGTGGAGCTTAATTCCTCTACCCTTGAGCTTGGGCCAGACTTAGTGACTTTCTTCTAACAAATAAAATTTTGCAGAAGTGATGATGTATGACTTCCAAGATATTATAGCTTCATTCCTTGCTCTCTCTTGGACCACTAGCTGTGAGGGGAAGTCAGGTACCATGTGATAAGGACACAGAAGCAGTCCTGCAGGAAAATTCATGTGAACAGGAACTGAGAGGCCTCCTACCAAAATCCATTGAAATGAATCATCTTGGAAGCAGATCCTCTAGCCCCAGTCAAGCCTTCAAATGACTGTAGCCCTCGACAACATCTTGCCTGTAACCTCACTCGAAACCTTAAACCAGAATCATCCAGCTGAGCCACTCCCAAATTCCTGACCTACAGAAACTGTGAGGTAATGAACATTGACTGTTTCAATATGCTACATTTTGGGATAATTTGTAACAGAGCAACAGATAACTGCTATATCGGATTAATCAGAATAGATGATTAAGGAGCGGGGAGAATGTTGGAGGCCTTGGTAAGATACATGTGCTCTAAAGGGTAAAAGATACATTCTAAGAAGATCCAGAGATTCTCCACATAAGTCTAATAGCCTGGGACATGCCAGGCATCCCACCACTAAGAAGAAGATGCATAATGCCTACTGGGCCTTTTGGGTTCTGGAGTGAGCATATTCAATCCTTGGAAATATACTGCACCAAACCATTTGCTGAGTAACATGGAAGGCTGCGAGCTATGAGTGGGATCCAGAGTAGGCAAAAGCTCTGAAGAAGTCTCAGACTATAACACAAGCAACCTTGCGACTTGGCTATCTATGCTGTTAGAGATATCTGTGTGGCTGGAAAAGACATTTTGTGGAGTTTACAGCAAGTCGTAGTAAGAGCACGACTATGTCGACTGTACAGTTCTGGAGCAATGTTATGCCATCTGCAGCAGAAACTATTCAAAAAGTAGTTTTCAGCATACTACTGGGCCCTGGTAGAGACAGAGCACCTGATCTTGGGACATCCTGTGACTGTACCATTAGAGCTATTCATCACCGAATGCATTCTGTTAGATTCATTAAGAGCGTTTTCAAACTCTGTGCCACAAGAATTTTTAAAACATGCAATACCTGACCATTTAGTCAGGGGGCACTGATCTCTTTTCCCTTAGATTGTTAAATTAAAAAAAAGAAAAGAAACAGCCAACACAACAATAGTCGTCCACTGTGAATGAATCAAAATTCTACCTTTTTGGGGGTCAGATTGGCAAAAAATATATTTTTTGGTGTGCCGCAGAATTTTAGTCATTAGTTTACGTGTGCCATGAGATGAAAAAGGTTGAAAATCGCTGCACTTGGTCATACGGTCATGTGAACCCAGCAGAAATCTGTAGAAAGACGGAAGTGATACATCAAGGACTGGTCTTGAGCAGTGCCAGAAGACAAGTAAGCTGCATGAGGAGACGGTTCAGATTCCTGTGTCATCCACCACTATGGCACTGTTCCCTCTCCCTTAGCTTACACTTACGATTGTTTGGGAGGAGGGGAAAGGGGAGAGGGGACAGGGAGATGTAACTATGATAAAATTATGGAAAAGAAAAAACCTGTGCATGGTGTACAGATGGGTCAGCTTGGTATATGGTAAAGCCAGTAATGGACCAATTCGCTATAGCCCATTCGAGGATGACCCTAGAAGACAGCAGCGAAGGGAAACTCTCCCAATGGGAAGAGCTTTGGTAGCACACCTGGTCATCTACACCGTGTAGAAAGAAAGTAACCTGAAATTAATATGTAAAGGACTCATGTCAGTGATGAATAGTATGGCTGCTTGATCAGGGAGTTGGAAGGGGAAAGAATGGAAAATTGGGAACAAGGGGGCCTAGGGAAGATGTAAGTGAATGGACCTATGGCATTCCATTCCTCTAGCTGCTGGGAGCATTGCAAAGACTCCTATCCAGTATATAAAAACCCCCACAAACGATCACGTCTCAAATTGTAAGAAACAACCCAATTTTAAAATGGGCAAAAGATGTGAAGGCACTTTATCAAAGGAGATACATGGAGGGCAAACAATCACATGAAAAGATGTTTAACATTATTAGTCATTAGGAAAATGCAAATTAATACCAAAATGAAACACTACTCCACAGTTATGAGAATAGTTAAAATTAAGAGATTGAGCACACTCTACACCTAAAAGTAGTACAATGTTATATGTCAATTATATCTCAGTTTTTAAAAAAGGAGTGAGTATATGAAGTGTTGGTGAAGATACAGAGGAACTGAAACTCTCACATACTTCTGGTGAGAATGTAAAGTACTTTGGAAACCAATATGGCAGTTTCTTTAAAAGTTAAACATACGCCTACCATATATGATCCATCCATTTCGCATCTAGTTATTTACCCAAGAGAAAAGGAAACATATGCCTACATAAAGACATATATGTACTTACATGTCTACATAAAGACCCACACATATAGTGTTCATAGAAGCTTTATTTGTAACAACCTGAAACTAGAAGCAACTCAAATGTCCATCAACAGGTGAATAAATAAATTTTGTATATCAATGCAGTGAAATACTAGTCAGCAGTGAAAACAAAATGAACTCAAAAGTCATTCAACAACGTGTGAATCTCAAATTATGCTCAGCAAAAGTAGCCAGACCAAAAAAGAGAACATACTGTATGATTCTATTTATCTAAAATTCTACAATATGTAAGTTAACTTATAGTGACAGAAAGCAGATTAGGGGTTGTCTGGTGACATGGTGGTGGGTGGGAGAGAAAGAAGGAGGAATTACAAAGGGGCATAAGGAATCTTTCGGGAATGTGCTCATTAATTTACCAAACTGTACACTTTAAATATGTGCAGCTTATTGTATGTAATATTTCAATTAAGCTGTTAAAAGAAGAAAGATTAAATCTCATGCCAATAATGTCCAATACCTGCCCCCTTGGGATCAAAGACCACATAACTCACAAGAAAGTGACCTGAGTTAAGCCAGTAAGATTAGATTACATGGAGGTCAGGTCAGTGTGGCAGGTTGTTGAGAGTTTTAAGCTAGGAGATACATGGACGGTATTCACTTGTTCATCTGAAAAACTGTGTGTGTGTGTGTGTGTGTGTGTGTGCCTTATGCATCACACAGTAGATTCCACACACACACACACACACACACACACAGAGTTGAATCAGATATGAATCCTTCCATTAGGGAAGTCAAGGTAATAAGCCAGGTAAATGGAGCTTCTTAAGTCTGAGACCATCCAGAAGCATGTGCAGGTCTGATAGGATGAGCTATGAGTCTGGAAGGGTCAGACCCAGATCACGCAGAATAAGGGTCAGGCACTGAGCTGCATTGATCTCGGAGGTATCTCTGAGGATCCAGGTTCTAGCCCTTTGACATCCAAACTTGAGCCATTCAGCAAGGGTTGTGGGCAGGGGCAGACTCCCTGACAAAGAATGGGTAGGGTAGGTGCTTCCAAATATGTCTGTACAGTAAGCCAAAGAATGAAAGAAAGCATGTATGGAAATGGTCAACTTGAAGAATACTGAAGAAACTGGCTGGCTTACAGTGGAAATTCCATAGCAGAGAAGAGGGAAACAAAACGTTCTAGGGAACAGTTTTCAAGGGAGTGGACTCAAATTGGAATTTGAGGGGCTCTTAAAACCCAGTCTGAACAGGCGGAGCTCAGGGGGTGCCTGACAGGGATTGGCACAGATGGGGAGAGGGGAAGGGTCTTCCTTAGTGTAGTGAATGGTGGAGCTAGGACAGCGGATGGATGGGAATCTTTTCTTGTGGCTATGAGCCCAGTAAGTGGATTCACAGCCACTCAGAGGAATATATTTAAAACAGTCAGGGCCACTGTTTGACCAGGGCAGGGGGAGGAGCCAGTCCTTGCTCACCAGCAGGAACACCGATGACCTTAGAGAAATGAAGATCAAGGGGCTTTTGACAAGAAGCCCAGGGAAAGGATGCAGGTCAGGGTAGAAACCGGTGCCTATAGGCTGCTGATAGGAAATGTTCACGGAATTGTGAGCCACTAACTTTTGAGGAAAACTGCTATGTGGCAAAAGCCAACTGATACATTCTACTCAAGTGTCCCTTTGACTCCACTCCAAGGGGGCTCTATGCTGAACATACCCTGTTTGTCACTGACTAGCTCTGCAAATTTCAGGGGGAGGCTGGTGGTATCTAAGGGGTAGGGGTAGGGATGACATGTGATACAGTGTGACATGAGGAGAGGATGACATGGGGGTAGAGCCAGTGTGACATGAGGGCAATGGTCAATGTGACACGGGGGAGGGCTCAGTGTGTTAGGTGGGGGGGTCTGTAGTTCATAGAAGAGGGAATTTATTTTTAAGTTGAGGTTGGTAAATGTCAGCAGAGAGGTGGAGATCAGCCACACTAAGTGAGGACAAGTGAGTGAGTCTAAGGGCACCAAGGGACTGATTTATTACTAGAGGCAATGGATTTAGGCAGACAGGATTGGCCAATGGAGATTTCTCTTTGCTAATAAAGGAGAGCAAAGCTCTTGGCTTGTAATATATCCTTCTGGAGGGAAGGGTCAGGACTCTCACCTTGGAGAAATTTCCCAGACAACAGCAGGAGGGCAGACTCTCTAGAGAGATATGGCCTGGCTGTCTTTCCTCCCTGCGGTGCATTTCCTCACTTAGTGAAACGCAGCCTTGCTCCCTTGAACCTCTCCTTCCTCATTGTAATTTTTCCCTTTGCAAAGCTTCCAGTTGATCAGGCTGGTTAATCAGTTCACTCCTTTCCCAGGCCTTCTCCCTGGAAGAGCTTATGGAGACAGCAGATATGAACTACCTCTTTCTAGTCTTCACCTTTCTGACAGTGACCGGTGAGTGCGGGTTCTTACTTTGGCTTATCATTCTGAAAAGGTCACATAGGAGGAAACTGGAGGAAATGGGTCAAGATAAGAGGGGTGGAGAGGTAACCAGTTAGAAAGAAGAAGAACTCAGGACCCCAGTGATGGGTAGTTCCCTAGAACACTCAGAGATACCAAGAGCCCACTGATTTTCCTCTGGCTCCTTGGGCGCAAGACAATAGTTGAACTGAGATCATGAGATTCAGTACAATGGATAGTAGGTGTTGGTAAGATAGTGTGATTTTGCTGTATAGCTAAGAAGGAAGCTTGAGGAAAAGACAAGAATCAAGAGGAGGGAAAGAGGAGGAGGAAGGACACAAGTACAAGGGGAACTCAAAGAGAAAATTAACAGAAGGGTCCTGAGGTGGTTCAATAATATCTTAAATATCAATAACACTTTGACAATTTCAAAGCACTTCCACCTAAAACATCTGAGATCTGTTCTCTGGAATGCCTGCCCCTGTCTCTAATAGCCTCCCCTCCTTTCCCCTATCTGGCAGCAGTAACAACAACAACGATGGTAACACCAATGCCAGCACAAAAAAAATTAGCTCAGCAATTCATTCAGATGAGCAGCAGAATGTCACCACCCTTCTTGATTTTCCTGAATTCAGAATATGAGCTTTGTTTGGGGACCCTGATCCACAAACAATGGGCTCTCACTGCAGCCCACTGCTTCTTACCGTGAGTGACGAGGGTCCTGGAGGGAGAGGTTTTCCCCCTCAGTCACTGGGATTGCTCAGGGGGGACTGAACCATTGAGAGATGTGCGCAGGGGGCTCTCAAACCTGAGAAGTGGTTGGAAGGAGGCAGGAAGTAGATCAATGTGGTTATGAGTTAGATTCTTGAATGGGGTGATGTAGAGAGGGAATTGGGGAAGCCAAGAACCAAGGGATGTACCAATAGGGAATAAAAGCCCACGTATAGTGTGGTGCAAATCAAAGAATCATGGAACTGCAATGAAAATTGCTCATTTTTCGGACAAGGAGACAGGGGTCTTGGCAAGTTATGGAACTCATGCCAAGTCACAAAGCAAGCTACAGGGATGTAGGATGCAAGATGAACAATAGAATAATGTCTCCTTTCTCTACTAATCCTTCATGGCCTGTTCCAGATTTCTTGAGATAGACATTGCTTCGTCAAACGATGAGGGTTTCACAAGCAAGACGGGGGACTTAAAAGCGTTGCTTACTGTCCAACACCCAAATTTTTCCCGGGACTCTTCTGAGCATGACCTCATGCTCATCAAGCTGACACATCCCCTAAAGCTCAATAATGAGGTGAGGCTGGTCGTTCTGCCCAATACTACAGATGACAGAAGAGAGGACAAGTGCACTGTTTCTGGCTGGGGCTGGACATGGCAGAATTACAGTGAGTGACCCTCAAGACAGAACCTTAGTGTTCCTTGAGTAACCAGTTAATGAGGATTATCATATAACTCTTATTATAGATCATGAGAGCTGGGTGGGGTGTGAGAACTTACATATCTTACTTAACTTCTAACTTTATTAATGTGGGAATTGAGGCCCAAATTGCTGACATGATATACCCAGGGTTAACATGGCTATTTTATAGCTGGAAATCTCTGAAATCCAGTGTTCTTGCCTAATTCATCACCTAGGTGAAGGTGAAAGGGTATCTGGGTGAGGAAGGGGCTGGAGGGCAAACTCGCTGGTAAATGCTGAGTGTGGCTCATTCATTAGAAACTTACAAACATTCACAAATTTTTTTAAAGTTTTTTGTTTTTTAAAAAGCATGCATGAGCAAGCCCAAGGCATGCAGTTTACAATACTGGAATCAGACCTTCATTTTCTCATCTCATTATCTGTTTTCTTCTCCAGTTCCTTTTTGTTTTGGCTTTTTCTTTCATTGAATAATGGAGAGGTTAATAGCAGAAAAGAGGGAAGGAAGGAGAGAAGAAAAGGCAATGAATATGTGAAGGATTGAAGAGAAACAAACTCACTCTCTCTCTCTCTCCCTCCCTGTGTGTGTGTGTGTGTGTGTGTGTGTGTGTGCGCACATGTGCTCAGACACAGAACCTGATGTCCAGGTAAACCAGACTGTCTTTTGGTTCTCTAACAAAAACTGCCAAGAGTCTCCTATAAGGAAAACTCCTGTTAAAATCACAGAGAACATGTTCTGTGCAGGATCATCTCTGGAGAGCACACACTCATGTAAGGTAACTCTTTTCCCTCTGTTCCTCCTAAGTTTTGTCTGAGACACTGTTTTGGGGTCCACATATTTTTCCATAATCCAACCCAGTTTCTTGCCTCTACATCCAAGAAGAGATCAAGGTAAGTGGGGACCAAGAAGGAATAAGTGTCCTCCTTATAATCACATATGAATTTAGATGTCAGGGTGGACACATCTCAGAGTGTTCTCATTTCTTTAGGGCTTCCTCTGATGTGGCCTTGGGAGAGGGGTGGGATGGGCCCAAGATGGCCATCACACATTTCTCCCAGTCCTTATTACCTAAATCTTTCTGTTCTGGGCCCCTCAGATAGGGACTTGGTACTAGATTATCTTTGTTTTAGCAACAATGCCTGACCCATCTCTCCTTTTTATAATAGGAAATGGATGCTGCCCCAATCCTGTGCGACAATCAGCTCCAAGGGATTCACTCCTGGTCAAATGGGTGTATTCTGAGAGGTGACATTGGCTACTACACCAAGGTTTCCCGCTATACAGACTGGATTCTCAGAGTCATCCATTCCAACTGAGCTCTCATCCCTCTCCCAGCAGCCTCAGAACTGGTCTACCATCTCTGACCTTTCCTTTCCCTCTAGTCTCAGAACAAGATGGGCATGAGTCTTTGGCTGTAAGAAGTTTTCTGTTCCTTCTGTTCTCTTGACTTCTCTTATCCTTTCTCAGCCCCAGCTGGAATGATTATCAAAGGAGTTGAGCTGGATAGTATTCTCCTAAATGGGATAACTTCTCACCACTCCCTTCCTCTCCTCCAGTTTCCTACTTACCTACCATAGTTTCCTCAGACTTTTCTGGAGCTGTTCTCCCCCCACCCCCACCCTCCAGAGAAAATATGGGCCCCAGGAACATGACAGTGAGATTGTGGGCACCTCTATGGTGAGTCCTTTTTTTTTTTAAATGTCTTTACTGATTTCAGAAAGAGGAGGGGAGGAATGGAGAGAGAGAGATAGAAACGTCAATGATTGGGAGAGTCATTAATCACCCTCCACTGGGGACCGAGCCCGCAACCTGGGCATGTGCCCTGACCCGGAATTGAACTGCGATCTCCTGGATCATAGGTCGATGCTCAACCGCTGAGCCACACCGGCCGGGCTATGGTGACTCCTTCCGTCTGACATCTCTTAGTGTTAGTCAGCCTTCAGCCTGTGCCCTCTCACCCCATCATGTCTAATAAGGCTGCAGTAAATGCTGGGATGTTAAATAGGCCGCTGGCAATATAATTATTAAAAATAGAGGGTATAATTTTATGAAAGCAACAAGTATAAGGGTTTCAAAAGGGTTTCCTGAAGGATGTTTTTTACTAGATAAAGAATTCTGGGTTGACAATGCTTTTCTTTCCGGATTTGGAAAATATTTGCCTCTTCCTTCTGCCCCTCAAGTTTCTGAGAAGAAATTTGCTTCTGTTTGAATCATAGTTTCCCAATTAGTAGATAATTGCTTCTCTCTGTTTTCAAAGTTTTTCTCTGCCTTTGATTTTTAGAAGTTTGGTTATGTGTCTGGGTGTAAATTCTGTAAGGTTTATTTTGTTTGGGGTATACTTGGTTTCTTAAATCTATAGCTTTATATCTTTCACCAAATTTGAGGAGTTTGAGCCATTATTTCTTCAAGCATTTTTCAGCTCAGGGTTCTTTTTCTTCTTCTGAAACTCGAGAACATGAATGGTAGGTCTTTTAAAAAAAAATTATTTTCTCTTGTTTATATTGATCATTTCTGCTGCTCTGTCTTCAGGTTCACTGACTCTTATGTTATCCCCATTTTGCTATTGTTCCATTGTTTTAAGTACATTTTTTATCGCCTATATTTCTTTCATATTTGGGGGGACCCTGCTGCCCAGGGAGATACTTTTTCTTCTCAGAGCTAACAAATTCCTAGAGATAGCAAATGACTCCCAGGACCACCATGTGCTTTTCATAGGCAAACAAACCAGCCCAGAGCCCATACTCCCAGCCACCTCTTTTATCCATCTTTCACATACCAAGTCAATATTTCCCCTACCCTAAATGACCCCAGGGCCAGGTATTGGACAACTAGAGACCACCACAATAGCCCAGAGCCCACTGAAATTATTCAAATTATGCAATCCTAAACTTGTTCAAACTTGCCTACCCTGCCTCACCCATTTCTTCTTTCAGAAGCTACCATAAAGCCTTGTGCCTGTGCTTTCCCTTCACTCCTCCTGCCTCCTGGTACGTCCTCATGGAGCCCTGCACGGCATGGTACACCCCTTAGTGAGCTGTTTTCAATGGCGTTGACCTCTCAGTGTCCCCAGTCATCTATAATTTAAATCCTAGGTACAATCAAAACACCCATCTAATGAGTTTTTTTAATCTCAGTTCTTACATTTTTTTAATTCTAAAATTTCCGTTTGGCTCTTCTTTGTGACTTCTATAAATCTTTGCTAAGATTTTCCATTTTTTCATTTGATTTAAGAGTATTTGTAATACCTACTTTAAAATCCCTATCTCATAATTTCAACATCTGCATCATCTTGGTGTTGGCATCTGTCGATTGTCTTCTCTTGAGTTGAAATTTTCATGATATGGTAATTTTGGACTACTTCCTAGACATTTGGATATCATGTTCTAAGACTCTGGTTCCTTAGTTAGATCTCCTAATTTAGCATGTAGATAATCTATTTATGCTCGGAATGTATGTCCTGGCCCACTTTTGTGGGCTGTGATTCAAATGTCAGTCTGGTTTACAAAGCCCCTCTATGGTGCTATCCTGCAGGGGGTGTGGCAGACAGAATAATGCCCCTTGTCCCCGGTGTCTACAGCCTAATCCTTAGAACCTATGAATATGTTCCCTTACATGGTAAAATAAACTTTGTAAATGTGATTAAGTTCAGGATCTTGGTATGGGAAGAGTACCCTGAATCACCCAGGTGGGCCCAATGTAATCACGAGTGTCTTTAGAGCAGAAGGCGAAAGGGTCAAAAAAAGAAGGAGGTGTGATCACAGAAGTAGAGGTTGGAATGATGTGCGTAAAGATGAAGGGAGGAGGGGGAGAGGCATGAGCCAAGGCATGCAGGTAGCCTTCAGAAACCAGAAAAGTTAAGAAAACGAATTCTCCCCAGAACCTCCAGAAAGAATTCAGCTTTATGGACCCCTTGATTTTAGTCCCACAAGGCCCATTTTGGCATTCTGATTTCCAGAACTATAAGGTAATAAGTTTGCGTTATTTTAAGCCACGAAGTTTGTGACAATTTGTTACAGCAGCAACAGGCAACTAATACAGAGCTGGAAGTCAGAGTTGCACCAAGCAACTCCACTGCTGCAGTACCACTGGAATGAGAAAGGGCATGCCCTTTTCATAGTGTTTGTCTCAAGAGCAAGCAAATGACCAATAATTTAGTGGCTTAAGCAATACAGATTTGTATCTCTAGTCTCCCTGAATCAAGAGTCTCAAAGCTCAGGGTGTGATAAAGCTAAAATCAAGATATGGGCCAGCTACTTCCTTTCCCACCTGGAGGTTCAACTAGGGAAAGACCCACTTCCAACTCCACATTGTTGGCAGAATTCATTCCCTTGAAGTTGTAAGACTGAGATTCCTGTGCCTTGTTAGCTGTCAGCTGGCAACTATGCTTAGTTCCTAGAGGTCATTCTCAGGTCCTTGCCATGTGGATCCTTCATCTTAGCAACAGAAAACCCCCTTTATGTCAAATTCTTCTTATGCTTTGAGTCTCTCTGACTTCCCCTTCTACTACCAGCCAGAGAAAAGTTTTCACTTTTAAAGGGCTCGTATGATTAGGTCAGGACCACCTGGATAATCTCCTTACCTTAAGGTCAACCACGACACATGACATAGCCTGATCACAGAGGTAATATCCATCAAATGCACTGATCCAGGTCAGGGCATATACATTGAGTGGCAGTAAATTTGAGGGGACATCTTAGAATTCTCCCTACTGCATACAGCTGAAAGGTTTCTGTTCTATTGGGCTGCCCCTTTGCAGGTCTTTTGGCTAGAGAGAGCAGGATTTTCTTGGGGCTTTTTTTGTCTCTGCCCACTGGTATTCCCAGGTTGCAATCTTTTCTACCACTCAGTCCTGGATATACAGTAGCTTCCCCCAATCCATAGTTTTGCTTTCCACAATTTCAATTACCTGTAGTCAACCATGGTCCTAAAATATTAAATGGAAAATTCCAGAAATAAACAATTCATAAATTTTAAGTTGCATATTATTCTGAGTATTTAATGAAATCTTATGTCATCATACACCATCCCATCTGGAACACAAATCATCCCTTTGTCCAGTGTATCCACGCTGTATATGCTATCTGCCCATGTAGTTATTTAGTAGCTGACTAGGTTATCAGGTTGACTGTGATGGTGTCATAGAGTTTGTTTTCAAGTAACCCTTATTTTATTGTTATAATTCTATTATGTTATTAGTGTTATTAATCTCTTACTGTGCTTAATATATAAATTAAACTTTATCATAGGTATGTATTATAGAAAAGAACATAGTATATATAGGGGTTGATACTATCTCTGATTTCAGGCATCCACTGGGGGTCTTCAAACTTATCTCCCATGGATAAAGGGAAACTACAGTATAGTGGTCAAGAAAAATACCTGGGACCCGGCCAGCATGGCTCAGTGGTTGAGCATCAACCTATGATCCATGAGATAGCAGTTCGATTCCCAGTCAGGGCACATGCCTGGGTTTCAGGCTCGGTCCCCAGCAGGGGGTGTGCAGGAGGCAGCAGATCAATGACTCTTTCTCATTGGTGTTTCTCTCTCTCTGTCCTTCTCCCTTCCTCTCTCTGAAATCAATAAAAGTATATTTAAAAGGGAAGGGAAGGGAAGGGAAGGGAAGGGAAGGGAAGGGAAGAAAAATATCTGGGAAACTCACTGTCAGGTCATTCCTCAAGTCTCAAGTTTTCTAGCTACTTCACCTTTCTTTTTGCCACTTTTCAGGTCTTCTGGTAAGTGACTTGTGTACTTTGTTATTATTGGTTTTTGTTATTGATTGTTAGCAAGAGGTGTAAAATGGTGTGTGCTTACTCCATCTTATCTGGAACAAAGCCTGTCATACTGTAGTTCCATTGGATACTAGAAAGATGAAAGGTAGTGAGGTTAATAGGAAGAACCACTGAGCTAGAAATCAGGAGACCTGGGTTCCAGTCCAGATTCTATTACTGACTAGTGCAGTGATTTTCATGTTGGTATGCTTGAGCCCCAGGAGAATGTGAGAAGTTAGCTCATCCTTTAAAAATTTCTATTTTGGTACGTTTTATAGTGTACATAGCATTTCTGTTCATATATATGTTAATACATACATGTATAAATAAATAAGTATACCTATATTGGTGGTGCATGCTCAAAAAGTTTTATAGCATTGGAAACGACACCACCTATCTAAAATTACCCAGATTTTCTGAGACATCTAATTGCCTTAAATATATCCTATTTTATTTAGGACAACTCCCTTCAACATGGAACAGACTGTAAGTATGTTCATCAGTTAAGATTCTTTTATATATCTTTAGTCCAAAATATAATTCTTAATTCAAATAATGCTTCCTACATTCCTTAGAACTTTCATATGGAAAAGTGATCAAATGAGGGTGAATCATCCCTAGAAAAGCAACTCTTTAAGAATAAAATTCCATAAATAAAATCCAGGTTCATGGTTCTGACATAATGAAATCAGGTGAGCTGAGTTAAAAGAAATAGGTGCAAATGGTGCTGCTGTTTGATCCAGTGATTCCACTCCTAGGAATGTATCCTAAGAATACTGAAACATTCGTCAGAAAGGATATATGCACCCCTATGTTCATAGCAGCACAGTTTACAATAGCTAAGATCTGGAAACAGCCCAAGTGCCCATCAGTAGATGAGTGGATAAAAAGCTGTGGCACATTTACACCATGGAATACTATCAGCTGTAAGGAAGAAGGATCTCGTACCCTTTGGGACAGTATGGATGGACCTGGATAATATTATGCTAAGTGAAATAAGCCAGGCAGAGAAAGACAAATATCACATGATCTCGCTTATACATGGAATCTAAAGAACTTAATAAACTGATGAACAGAATAGATTCAATGACATGGAAGCATAGATGAGACTGATGAATGTCAGAGGGATGGAGGAGGGCGGGTGGGTGGAGGGGGAGAGAGTAACCAAAGAATTTATATGCACATATGCACAACCCAAGGACACTGGACAATGGTGGGGAGAGGGACTAGGGAGGGGAAAGGAATGGGGTGGAATGGGTCATTGGGGAGAAAAAGGGACATTGTAATATTTTAAACAATAATAAAATTAAAAAAAAAGAAGAAGAATAAAAAAAATAAAAGAAATAGGTGGTTTCTAGAGTGCATTATATTTAGTTAATCTGCTAAACATCAAGTCCCATTAGCCTAACTTCCATCTTTATCTTTAACATAGAGAGGCGCATTTACATATAACATCCTGAAACTGTGCTCTATAGTCCCTTCCATGTAGTCTTTCCTTCGCTTTTTCACTGGCAGTGACTCTGTGAGAAAACTGGTACCCACTACTCTAGTTTCCCTGACCTTCACATGGCTGCGTGTAACAGAGACCATTAAATTGATCTCCCATCTCCATTCTCCTCATCTTGTTGTTTTGGTTTGTTTTTGTAATGGACACGCCTGAGTTTTAGCCAACAGATGACTGCCTTGCTAGCTCATTGTAGACACGTGACTAAGTTTTGCCTGAGGGAATGTGAGTAGAAAAACCATGCACGGCATCTGTATCACATTCTTAAAAGAAAGCTTTTTTCCCTTCATGTCTTTTTCCCACTTCGCATGAGCTGGAACACAGTTGTAATGGTGGTCAGCCAGCCTCAACCATGCCCACGAGGAAAACAAGGGAAATGTAGAAAAATAAGACAGAAGGAAAGATGCATGATCTACTAGAGCAGAGCTGCCTTCCTCCGAAAACTGCCCCAAGCTCCAGACTGCTTTGCGAGAGAGAAATGAACATGAATCTTCTGTGAGTCATTATATATTAGGGTGTCTTTGTTACAGCAGCTTATCCGATAACATAACTAATATACTCAACATCTGTTTGCTCAACGCACGTTAAATTTCTACTATGTTCTAGGTTCTGTCCTAGGTTCTAGGGATTTTTTAAAAAATGAGTCAGACATACTTTCTATTCTGAAAATCTCCCACTTAAGAAAGGAAAATTTGACTCAAAAGGGAAATGGGAAAATAATTGACATTTATTAACCACCTATGTTTTCACATGCATTGGTTTATTAGTCCTTACCCCCAAAAAACCTGAGTTGTAATTGGTATCATTGTTCTACAGCTAAAGAAATGGATGATCGAGTGGCATATCTGCCTTATAAATGGTGGATTCACTGTGCATTTTTACCCTCACCTTTTATCTAAGACTCCTTGCTGATGGGTTCTGAGAGAGCCAGTAAAACAGTATCTCCATGGCCACGATAATAGGCATGTGTGGTGTGTATTCCAGAATCCCATCCATCCCGTCTTCCAACAACAGCTCCCAGTTTTTATATTGAGTTTTATTCTTTCTTTACTCTCCCCCCACTTCAGTCCATGTGTACCAAGGCTGCACCTCTGTCATCACTCAGAGACGAAACATGCGCCTGAGGCCTAAGCCAGTCATTGCATCACAGTCTCATCCACAGTGACTGGAAGCCAACTTGCTCTTGCTTTTTGGTCTTGAAGCTGAAAGGATGGAAGGACGAGAGCACTACTGTGGGGAACCTAACACTGAAGCCACCCAGAAAGCAGAGTTCAAGAATGGAGAGCAACCAAGCACTAGTGGATTATTTAGCCTGAATTCAGCTAGGCTTGAAGCCTGGGACCTACACTTGGGCTTTTCAGTTACACGAAACAACACATTTCCTTTTAAGGCAGTTTGGGTCAGGTTTTCTGCCACTTGTAACCAAAAGAACCCCAATTATTCCCTATAGTCTTAGCCTGTGCCAAAGATGAGCTGTTTCTACGCATCAGTGGAGAAAGTGTGCATCTTTCTATCCCATTGTTTGTAATTTTATTGCTTGCCAGAACCTCCAAGATTCTTGATAAACAAAACTTTATTATGTAAAATACAAAATGCTTTGTCAGCAACAGTAATGCATAGTCAAAGGTCACTGCTTTCAGGAAGACTCCATAACATCTCTTACTTGGTAATTTTGGATTTGCCACAATTCCTGGCTTATGAATTTTTAGCAGTAGCATTGCTATATTTTATATTTATGTACTTTAAAAATCTGATATTTGATCTAATTGTACCCTTAATCTAAATATAGTACACAATCTGAAAGACTTCAGGCTCCAGGGCAAAACCTTTAGTGAATTAAATTTGGAGTCTTTTGTACCATCAGAAAAAAAATAAATTCTTTTTTGGTGGTGGGAGAGGGGAACTTTGAGAGCTAATTTAATAGCACTGTTTTAAACACTTTGCTCAGGAAATCATCAATTTATTATATTTGCTCAGATAAATTGTTTTTTAAAATGGATTGGATTAAACTCTGCATCACAATCTTCACTTCTAGTCTCATGAACCTGGTCTGAGGAGCTGGCTGTATCTTCATTGATTCTATTGAAAGCTAATTTTTCTGAAATAAAGTAATGTTATTTCATTGAAAGCTTTTTTCCCCATAGGCTTTTCTGTAGCACACATACTTATATGCCCTGCATCTCTGCTCCTGACTTTCATTTCTCCTTCACACTATCTCTCATAGTGATTAAAGAGGTGGGACAAATGTGTCAGAGCTGTGGAGAGGGGCCGGCGAGCGGCTGGGTGTGCAGGTGTGAACTTGGGCGTGTGTTTTGGACTGCATCTCTTGGTGTGTGGGAGCAAAGGTTCAAAGGAAAAGGTTGCAAGTTAGAATTCTATGGCTGCTCAAAACTGTGCATAATAGCATAATTTTTTATATCAGTTTTCAATTATAACTCTGATTTTCAGTGTTTGAGTTCGTGTGTGTACTATTACAGATCTCAAATTAACATAAATCAGATCTCTAAACGAATCCATGAAATTTTAGGAAAGGGCTACATAGACCTTGTTGAGAAGAGTCATCTGTCATCCTTAAAATTTAACTTCACATTTTACAACTCTATATTACCACTCTCTAATATGTTCATATTCAAATTACTTATATCTCTTTTTTCACATATTGAAACTAGAAAATGTTTGTAACACACACACACCCCCCAACATACTCTTATTCTTGTAAGCTTGGGTTTTTTTTAAGAAAAAAATTTCTACAGGAAGTTTGTACTTCATAATTCCCTTCCCCTTTTCTGCCAAGCCCCTACTCCCCACACCCTTCTGGCAAGCATCAGTTCGTTCTCTGTATCTATGAGTTTGTTTCTGTTTCATTTTTTTGTTTTTAATTCCACATATAAGTAGTCACATGGTGTTTGCCTTTCTCTATCCAACTTATTTTGTTTAACATAATACCCTCTAGGTCCATCCCTGTTGTTGCAAATGGCAAGATTTCACACTTTCTTATGGTTAAGTAACATTTTATTGTTTCTATGTACCACCTCTTCTTTATTCATTCATCTATCAATGGAACCTAGGTTGTTTCCATATTTTGGCTATTGTAAACAATGCCGCAAAGAACATAGGGGTACATATATCTTTTTGAATTATTGTTTTTGTTTTCTTTGGATAAATACCCAAAAGTGAAATTTCTGGGTCATATGGTAGTTCTGTTTTTAATTTTGGAGGAATCTTTATACTGTTTTCCATATAGCTGCACTAATTTACAATCCCACCAACAGTGCACAAAGATTCCCTTTTCTCCACATCCTCACCAACGCTTGTAATTTGTTTTTTGTTTTTTATAATAGCCATTCTGACAGTGTGAGGTGATAATCTCATTATGGTTTTGGTTTGCATTTCCCTGATGATTAGTGATGCTGAGCATCTTTTCATGTGCCTGTTGGCCATCTGTGTCTCCTTTGGAGAAATGTCTGTCTAGGTCTTCTGCCCATTCTTAAATTAGATTGCTTGTTGTTTTGTTAAATTTTTTTTTATGTTGAGTTGCATGGGTATTTTTTAATATATTCTGGACATTAACCCTTATCAGATATATTATTTGCAAATATCTCCTCCCATTCAGTAGGTTGCTTTTTTGTCTTGTTGATGATTTCCTTTGCTGTGCAAAAGCCCTATAGTTTGATGTAGTCCCATTTTTATTTTTGCTTTTGTTGCCTTTGCCATAGGAGAAATACTCAAAAAAATACTGCTAAGAGATACGTCAGAGAGTTCACTACCTATGTTTAGAAAACCTAAATTTCTTTGAATTAGACTGTTAGTGGAAATCTGAACTTTGAGGATGCTGGTGGTAAAGACTCGAAAGGAAGTCAAGAACACGGAGATTCTTGTTATGCAGTGGCAGATATCTTAGCAACACTGTTGTTTTCAGTTATGTGGAGAGCAGAGAATATGCCTAATGAACCTGATGATCTAGCTAAGCTTTCCACACAAAGTGTTGAAGATACAGCCTGCCTATAGCAAGGTGTGAAAGGAAAGAGATAAACTGAGAAGTCTGTTAAACTGACAATTTTGAAAATGCTCAGCCTCTTCAGACAGCAAAAGTTGATAAAATTAAGAAAAGATTGTGAGTAAAGTTCAAATCCAAGGCACTGCCAGGAGAAAAAGTCTAAAGACAAAGCCAAGAGTGTGACTGTAAAATCTTTTGCTGAGATTTTCAAAGATCAAAAGTGGTTCCTCAGAGTACTATTTGCTCACACAATGGGCTCTTTAAAAAGATTCAGTGTGTGCCTCACAGATCCTCTTAACCAAACACCAGCTAGAGTCTCCAAGAAGTTTCTTGTCCCTCAGTAGTCTCTGCAGGGGCACAAAGTCGAGAAAGGATTTGCAGATGTGGCTTTTGTCTAATGAAGTAAACTACAGTGAGATTCACAAGAGGCTCACAAAGCTTTTGAGAGAATCGTAGCCCCTAAACAGTGATTTTCAACCTTTTTCATCTCATGGCACACCTGAACTAATTACTAAAATTCTGTGGCACACCGAAAAATATATTTTTTGCCAATATGACAAAAAAA